CCGTATCCTGTCAGGGTGGTGGTGTGGAGTGCGTGGGGTGGTCTGCGCAGCGATGAGGCCACTTTGAAGGGGCGCGAGAATTAAAGAACACTGCCCTAAGACTTCGTTGGGTTTTTTTACTGTGAGACTAACAAAGCTTCCTTTCTAAATATTGACAGGCGACGTACATCTCAGGCATCAAACACTGAGTAATGAATGCTGGTAGGCAAAGAGTGGGTGCGTCTGTATGAAAGACGTATCCTTGGTTAACAAACATTGTTTATTCAGTTAATCCTGGGTTCCCACGACACACTGAACGACAAACTAATGCCACACAGCCATTTTTTTTTCTCCAAAGGATGAGCCCTTGGCGGCTCAGGGCGCCGCTACGTTCTGCTTGGAAATCCCCAGGGCCACCTTGGTCGCCCGCTGGAAAAAAAAAAATCGAGGATACGTTTCCTTATGCAACGTTATGCATGTACATCGAAAGCAAGCCACCCTGCGGCTATCTTTCAGGTAACGAGCACAGAACGGAAGATGTGGCCTTCCAGTTCATCCCACTTCTCCTGCCTCCGTCCGCCGGGCTGCCCAGATCAGTTTCGCTGCTTGCAACCCGCACCAGCTCGCGGGCAAACGATCTCCTCGCCCGCTGACCGTGAATTGCCATGCAGGAGCCCGCACCCCGGGCCTGCCGGACTACCCCACACCTTCCACTGAGTAAGACGGAATGCCCCGCCCCGACGGCGGCCTTAAACCCGCGGCACCTGCCCAGCGTTGCGCAGATGCGCTGACACAACAGTCGCGGCCGGTATTCGCCTCGGTCTAGGAGGAGGCGGCGGCGCTCCCCTCCGCCCCTCTCGCTTCCCCACCTCGAGTCTCTCGCAGCCGCTTCCTTCCAGCGGCCAAGACGCCTCCCCAGAGGAGCGCCCAATGAACGGCACGCGTGGAGGGCTTCACTGGAAGGGCGTTGTCCTGCAAGCGGCCTCCTATTGGAGGCTGCCTTTTCCCCATAAGGCTTGGTCTCCCCCTCCTTTCGGTGGCGTCAGAAATAGAAACGACTCGATCCAGTTTGGCGACAAGCGGGAGAGGAACGCGCCGGCTCGAAGGGCGCCCTGGATTTCCCTGGCTCGCTGTCAGAACGTAAGGGGGGCGAAGGAGGAAAAGAAAGGACCAGTTCCCCGCCGCAAGTAGTGTCTGGATTTCTTACCTCCCTTCCGCCTTGGAGGAAGCCGAATCCCCTCCTTTATTCCGTAAGGAAGCTCGTTATAATACTCAGAGCCACAAGGTGCATTGAAACAAAAACCCGGAGTAAGGCGCACTTAAACGCTTCAGGTTGGAAAGCACGCTTTGGGCACAGCGATCATGGCGCTGGATTTCCTTGCAGGCTGCGTAGGAGGTAAGAAGCGGGGCTTGGAGCGATTGGGAGGATCGAGGTTGACATAGTTCGTGCCACGACGGTGAATGGTTTGCGTAGATCCGGGGCGGTGGGGGGGGGAGGCAGCTGCGGAAGGCGACGGCTACCTCCCCCTCTGTGGCTTGGCGCACTGCAGTGAAGATGCGCTGCCCACCCGCCCGAAGGAGGCCGGGAGGTGTTGCATTCATGCGCAAACGCTTAGAAAGAGGGAGGAAGAGACAGCCCCCAAAGCCTCAACGCGAGCGGTGAATTTATTACTCCCCCCCCCATCATTTTTGTTCTTGATCTGTTCTGGGAGGGACGTCGCCGATTCTCTGCCGACCCCATTGTCCCTGTCTGCGCTGGATTGGCTTTGATCCTGTAGAACCGGCGAATTAGCGCCCAGAAATGGGGAGGCTTTGGGTGGGTCGGCTACCTCTCCACCGAAGCTTGGCGAGGCCATTGTGCAAAAGCGGAAGCCGACTCTTCCTCTTCTTTACCTTCTCCTCGGCCACCTAAACTTTCCGGGCCGGGAATTGAATTTGGTGTAGGACGTGACCCAAATCTGTACGGGTCTGTTAGGAAGAAAGTTCCGTTAAGTGTAGTGGAACGAAATCCTAGATGTAGCCTTACAACTTAAATTCACACTAAATACAAGTAATTGGGCTCCATTTCTGAACTGGGGAGAGAAAGGGTTGAGGTTTATTGAAGGCCGAAGCAGCCCAGAACTCATTATTCCTACCCCCGGATCGCTTTTATTGCATACTTTTTTTTTCCCCCAGGATAGATAGGATGCACATCCATTTCTTGGAAACTCCATATATGAAGCAGAGCTACCCACTGGGGGACGAATACACCAACATTAATTATTGGAGGGAAGATCCTTGAACGGATCTCTTGCTATTGCCAAAGCAGACCCAACCAGACCTCTCTCTCCTGAGATTGTGGGGACTTTTTTTAAGAAAATGGAAAAGCTTCTGTTAGAAGTATTTAAGATACTTTCAAGCTATGCTTTTTATTTGTAGGTGTCTCCATACAGATTCAAAGTATCACTCCCATCCATTTCATTGTGAAATCACATGAGACGGTGGTTCCTAGTGGTCAGTTTATCTGGAGTTGGAGAGTAATGTTACTTTAAGCCCTGGCACACAGCAAATTGTAAACCAGCTTTTCCCAACTAGATTCTCTTGGTCATTTTTACAGTCATGGGGGTGATGGGGAAAGCTAAAAATCAGGAAGAAATTTTTCATTTTTTTCTTTCTGATAACTTTCTAGGGGTTTTTTTTTCTTTTTTCTTTTAGTCCCAGTCTCTAGCCTGGGAAGATGTCTCATGTTCTCAAGGGAATTTTGGAGTTTGTTCAAAACATTCAGAAAACACTATGTTAAGGGAAGGTTAGTGTAGGTGGTTTAATTTTTCTTCCTCATAGTATTGTTTTTTTAATTAAATCCCAGAATAGAAAACACAGTTGCTTGCTTTGTTGTTGAGATGGTGTAAGTAGCATTTTCCAATGTATTCACCCTTGTTGATTTGCTTTTATGTGTCTTTCAAGAGTTGAAAGTGGCATACAGAGCACTCCCTTTTTTAATTTTCCCCTGCGCGTGGTCTGTGGGTGGTAGGTTGGACTGAAAGAGACAAAGTCATTTTTATGCCTTCAAATGAATTTGTACCTGGGGCTTCCTGGTTCTAGCCCATCACTGCATTACAGTGATTCAGAGATGCTAGCCATCTGTAGCTAACTGACTGCTTCCCTTTGGTTACTAACCTCTCTTTGTCATTACATAGACAAGCATGCTGTCCTTCAGATTTTCAACTCCAACATTTAAGCTACTTAAATGTAACTTAAAAATGGTTTGGCAAGGCTTTAATATGTTTAATGCTGCAGCACACATTTGTGTTCTTAAAGGAAGAATGTTAAGATGCTAACAACCTGTTTAGATTTTAACCCTGCCTTAGTCGCAAAGATAAGCATTTCAAAACAAAATGTGTAGTTTTGTGTATGTGCTTGTTCTAAGTTCTTGCATAATTTCCTATGACAAATGCATACTGATACTCCATTTTACTGTAATCTAACTAGCACACATCACTGGATTCTGTCTTCCTTTTTACCCTGTGTTGGAACTGATCACGTGATGTAGGAGTGACAACTGCCTTGCAGACAGGGTGTATCTGTCCTGTTTCACACAAAGCAGGCTGTCAAGATTTGGGTGGAAAAGATATGCTCATCTGGAGATAGAAGCAAGATAGAAGGATGAGGAATGTAGGAGGAGAGAATTACATTTACTCTTCCCTCACACAGAAAGAAAAAAGAGGTGGGATTTTCCTCTCTAGCCAGATGGGGAGTCTGGAAGGTTTTATTTGGCACAAAAATGGTATTACTTTGGCCCACAGCATCAGGGTGTTGACTTTGTGAAGATAAGAATAAAGGATTGGATTTTGAATTGGATATTTGTAATCTTTCACAAAAGGGTTTGGATTAGAGGCTGTGATCATTTGTATCTTACTTTCTATTATTTGAGAGTACTATCATACTAGCCACTATCACATTTTCTCATTATCACACTTTCACTAATATTGGGTAAATTTACAGCTTCACCCGTACAGAAATATTAATTTGTGTGCTGGTTTAACTGATACACAAATAGGTCTTCTAGCTGAACATGCAGAGAATTTATCTGCAAAACCTACAAGTATGCAAATTATGTAGTTTTACATATTGAAAAAGTAGCTCCGTTGATGGGGCAGGGAGCACATCAACCTGCTGTCCCCATTATAGATACTTCCATTGGCAGAAAGCCCCAGACCAGGGCAGATTAGAGGCAGCCTTGGTTCTCTTGGAGCCAAAGGCCTTTTGGCCTTCCTGAAAGGTTCCCAAGGTTGGAGCCATTAACGTTGCCATCTTGCCCGCCTCCTGACACTGGCTGAGGCAGTTTCCTCCCCATTGAAATTAACAGATGATAATGTGGAATGAAATTGTTCCCCACCCCTTTCCTTAGTCCCACAAATGGAAAATGGGCAGGGGAGAGTGCCATTTCAGTCCCTTTCTTCTTAAAATGGCAGAAATACCCTATAAAGAGTGGAACTTTAAGCTTGCTGAGAGAGTAAACATTTAGCTCTGTGCTGAAGAAGCCCATCACTTTGCTTCTGGCATGTGCAATGAGGAAAGGTTTATGACTGATGAAACATTTGGTGTTCTATGTATTTTCAATATGCAGTTAGTTTTTTTTAATGGTCTTGGAATAAGCATATATTTTCCAGCAAAGCATGGAGTAGGCAAACACTCATTAGAGAAATGTTGAGTGTTTGGACTGCCTGATGGGAATGTGCGTATTGAAAGCACGTCCTTCTGTGCTTAAGAATACTTTGCCAGGCTGACTATATAGGATACCATTTCTTGGGGAAAAAACCTAATTCTTTAGTGAAGAAGAGCTTGAACTGGCCTTTCCCCTCTTGGTATTTTTTTCCCTCATTTGATTATTAAACCTGTTATTTAGTATCAAGTTGCCAATGATACGCTCTTATTCAGCTGGGCTAGATGTCATGTGGTAGGGCAGGAAGTAGCTTCTAGAAGTATAGTTAGGACAGTGACTTATATTGCTTTGTCCCACCTGTATTGTTGGCGGATGGTGTCTAGTGGTTTTGCAGACAGCGCGGGAACATTTCCTGTACTTTTTCTGAACTTCAGTAGAATGAAGAGTTCAAGGCAGTCTTTCCAGGTTGTGTTCTGGTCCCTTATTTGGTCTTCTCCAAGCTTCCACTAGGAAACTGCAGCTGGCACCAAATGTGGTGGTGCCAGTGCTTATGGGCAGGCTTTGGTGTGCCCATGTAGCACCACTGTGTGCAGGGTGCACTGATTACCAGTAAGCTTCCAGATGTGATTCAAGGCACTGGTTTTTACTTAAAAACTTTCACGCCATTGGGCCTGGTTGTCTAAGAGACTGCCTCTCTCCCATCCAGTAACATCTGTCAGAGTGAGTGTGTTCCAGGCCCCATCTTTAAAGCCATCTGGTGGGACCCAGGAGGTATGCCTTCTCTGTCACAAAGCCTGCCCCCTGGAATAGTACCCCCCCCCCCCGGTT